AGTAAAGACATACCAAAAAAAAAAAAAAAGGAAAATCACAAATGGAACATTGCTAAGAAAAAGAGCATGAAAGCAGCTACACATATAATTAAGTGCGTCGTAGGGCCATATTGTCTTCTGTAATGGATGGATCGTCCACACCAATAAAGTCACACACATGCGGCCTCAGGTGCTAAACTTTTACCATATAAACAAGAATATATATATAGAGGAAAAGGTATGAATTATTTAATCTAAAACCTAAGTGAATTCCGAATCGAACCTTCCAAGCAAATAGCCAAGCAGCCATTCCAGTCGATTAGAAGACTCTTTGCTGTTTCACTGACCCGACAAGAGAACCCTATTAATGCTTTTTTTTTTATTCGTTGTTCTTTTATTCCACTTTTTGGCAATACTAATTCTAACTTCTCCGAAACCCTATTAATAGTGGAAGAGAATCCAACTATTGGCTCTTGCAGCGAGAGAACCTCATCCCCAAACTAGCTAGATAATTACATTCACTAAATTTTAGTCTTGACTAAATAAATTGCAGCTCAGAAGTTTCCCTCCAACTTCATCTCATCTAGATTCTAGACTAGATAGTTGCGCAATATTGTCACGGACACTTCATATTCTAAACTAGCATATATACATACATATATATATATAAAGAGACTTCCTCGTTTTTTTTTTGTACTTATATGGTCACATTTATTTACATACATATGCATGTAGTCCATTCTGTATGTATCTATATATACATATATACAAGCTTAATGCACGATATCTTATTCAAGTAATCCTAACAAGAAAATAGATGCATGCAATGTTGCGGCCGCGGCGTTAATATGTGCACGAATACATTTCATTTCATCCAGGAATGGGATCTTTGAGTTGATTTAATTGCTCTTCTCCCTATATATATAATCAATTACTATATGTATACTTTTCTTGCACAAATTGGAAGACATGATGATGTATATCTAACGAGGTTGAAGACTATATTTACAACAAACATTTAAAATGTTGTCCTTGCTTATTCTTTTTTTTTTTTTATGTATATATATCAGGTATAATTTTCTACCTTGCAACTTAGGTGTCTCGATAATGTCGGGTCGCATTTTTCTTTTCAATTCTCTTTTTTTGGTTAACCAAGCGGATTTCTGAAACCCAACATTCAATTCCTTTCTTCTTTCTTCTTCCATTTTCTTTTGGACCATGATTTGCCATGGACTTTTCTCATGAAAACTGATAAAAATAAGCCCTATATTGCATCATCATTGTGCATCACCACATGCATGTTGAATTTCTTTGCTTGCTTGTCTTGACTGATCTTATCTTGGCTTCTGCATGCATTTCCAGTTCTTAATTTGCTTACATTCCACAACGGATGGCAAAATTAGGCCAGAATTCGTTAGTTTCGTATCCAATTGTCTAATTATCAAGAAAATACATAAATAAGGAAAGGAATTTAGAAAATTCTCCTTGACATCTATGCATACATCTACTTTCTTAATTCTTATTGTAGTTACTGTTACCCACGTGAAGAAAAACGAGACCGTCTCAATACATTTTGTTGTCAAATCAGCACTAAATTAAAGAAGCCATGTAACGAACTATATACTATTAGTTTCTTAATTCTTTTGCTGTTTATAAATTGGATTCTGAAACTACCTGAAACTATATGTTTTTGCAATTTTTTTTTTTTTTTGCCAAATTCTGGGTATTAGAAAAAAAAAATAATTCTTTTATCTTTCTTCAATAATTTTGGCTGGTCTCATTGGAATATTCGATGGCACCAGACATAGAAAATTTGCCCGATAAGATTCTATTGGAAGAAACCCTTCAAGAAACAGAGAAAGCGACAATAATGGTGGATAACGTGGGATCATCTGCAAAGGGCAACCACAAAAAAGGCATACAATTATTTGAATTCCTGACTGAAGACTTTTGACAGATGTCCGGACTCCGGAGCAAAGGCAATCAAAAGCTAAAAATTGTGGATCAAACTACGAACACTTTTGACAGCGTTACTTGGACTCTTAAGGCGTGAAACTTGCAAAGCTATTCCGAAACTTCTGGTGGTTAAAATAGGATATCTTAGATTACAAGAGTTGTAAAAGTATATATATATATACATTTAGCCCATCGACTTTATTTTAATATGGGAAAAAAATTGGTCAGGAATGGTGAAAAATGTTTTACGGCCAAGAATCAACTTAGCCACCATAACTGCACGTATGATCAGTCCAGCAAACTGACACTACCAACCAACTCTTTGTTGCTTAATTTCGCTTTCAAGAAATTCACCACTAGATTGTGATTTGTTAATAGTGACAAATTGATCCTATATGGTGAAATTTTATGATAAATCATAATATCAAAGCATGCACTTTTTTTTTTAAACTACCACGTTACTGCAATTTAAAAATTTAGTGCACGCGAAAGAATTACCACCTAACATTGGATTTTAAACAAATCTAGGCTGTATGTACTGCTTTTTACTGTGGATTTACTCTTCCTCATATTGTAAAGACGGATGATATTCAAAACTTCGTCATCAGGAATGTTGCCCACATGATTTCTATATCTCAGAAAAAAGATGATGTGAATGCATTGCATTGTCTCCCTTTTTGGGGTCAAGAAATGTGAGGAGCACGAGATCGCTCGATTTCAGACCTATTATCCCTTCCTTTCTTTTTTTTTGGTAAACTAAAGTGCATCAAAACTACGAGTAGAGGATTATTTGCGTGGATAGGAATATTTTGCCAAAAAAATTATTCGCTTGTATTATAAATACATTTTTCAATATACCTTTTTACGTTCTTAACTCCCTTTTTATCTCGCAAATAAAGTGTTACAATAATTACTTCAAAAAGTGTTATAATAGTTATTTCAAATAATTTCCGGTGCAAACACACGAACTAGTGTTTACAAAATGTGGGATGCCATTTCCACACCGGTCTTCCTCCAAAATGGTACATGAGGAGACTTATTTCCTAGCTACTTCATTTTGGAACCTCACAATTGAATATTGAAGGACTGCTGACCCAAATCAGACCATTGGTTAGCAGCCTTTACATCTTTGTTTTCTGCTCACAATATGTGAACGTGACGTGACATGTACTCCACGTAGTACAATTTATACAGTAAAATATTTGTTTGCTCGTCTACAACTACAACCTTTTAGAATTTTGGTTGGATGTCTACCTTTCTGAATTTTGAGTATGAAACCTTGGAAAAATGCTATCTTGTATCGGATATAAAAAAGGCTCGCTTCCATTTATTAGTTATTCCTCGCATAGGCATAGCCATCTTGTGCATTCTTTCTCGATTTTTGTTTACTATTTAAATTTATTGGGAGAGTATACTGGTGCCATTAGGCCTTTATGATATTTGTGTCAAAGCCCATTGAACGTATGGGATGGAGAATGGGCTTGCATCAACTTGTTTGTACTCATATTATTAATATTGTCTTTCATGTACTATGCTCTTCCTGCAGCATTGATTGTCAAAGCCCATTACAATTCATGGACTCAAGAACGGGCTTCAATCAATCGTAGAACAACGTACGCCCGCTCCCAAGACTTTATTTATAGAATTTCACTATAGTTCCTTTTCGGGTAGGATCTAAGAATTGGAAAGGGACAAATTTTTTTTTTGTTGTTCCTCGTGCACTCTATATTTTCCAACAACGGATTAAATTTTTTCTTTGATTTAATGAAATGAAACTTAACCGAACATATAAGCATGGCTTACTCCATGTTTGACGGACCCAAGGAACAAAATATTTACTCCATATAAAAGGATTGAAAAAGAAACTAGGAGAGGTAAAATTAGTACTAAAATATTACGTAGTATAGTACTAGGAGAGGTAAATCGCGCTTCGCGCGGTGGAATATAAAATGTGAATGCCCATGCAGCATTAAAAGCATGTAAATTGTAGTTGGGATTGTTGATAAGTAAATTTAGATCAGAAATAATATCGGAGGTATATGGTTTGGTTAACAACCGAAAACCATGGGAGAAATGTAAAAAGCTAACTAATTTGGTAATCAAAGATACTAATATGTTAAAGGTGAAATGTATGACGCCATGGATACATGATTTCTATGCCGTTGATTCCGAAAATTAAAACAGAAGGAAGCTCTACTGGAAAGTACAAAGACAGGGGGAAAATATAAAAAAAAGGTTCAAGCAAAGAAGAAAAATAAAGTAGCAAGCGTACATAACAACATAAATAAAGGATGCAAGAGGCATGCAGAAAAGCTCCACGCACCAACCTGATGGCAAGAAAGTCTGCTTGACTCTGGAGGAAGTAGAAGAAACAAAGAAAGGGAAGAAACCCAGATAAAGCAGAAGGCTTAATAGAACATTGTAAGCACACTGGCCGAGGCAGGCAACGGAAAAAAAAAAAAAAAAAAAAACAGGCATGGGTACTTTCTTTAGCAACTATCCATGCAATGCAGTTTAAAAGTAGCAAAGCGCTGACCTTTTTTTTCCTCTGCATAGCTGCTGCCATGAAACGAAGATCCATGCAAAGAAGGTTAAAACCAGTAAACAGCTGACCTTTTTTTCCATATGAATGACTATTGACATTGCACAAAAACTGGTAAAGCTCGATAGAAGCAACTAAGGCAAAACTGAACACTGCAAAGAACAATGGCTCTGATGATGATGGAAAGACGTGCGATCTATTCAAAGCTCAGAGTATGGGCTACCAGACGTGGATGCTTCATGCAACACTCGGATCTTTATTGTTTATCAAGAAATTTCTGGCTAATCAATCAGAGCAACATTTGTATATTGGTAATAAAATAAAATTCGCGTCAATCAGCTCTTATCTGACAATGAAGCGCAGCTTAGTTAATAAAACGTGTTATTTATAGTCGATGGGTCATTATTGTTGATTCTCTTTTTTTTAAAAAAAAAATGAAACAAAATCCATTTTTTATTTAGTCGAATAAATTTCTTGTCTTTACGAGTACGCGACTTGTTTGCAATCACATTAAATTGATAAGTAAATCCAAACAATAATATGAACCCACAACCAACATAAAATAGAAGACAAACCACAACCAACATTGAATTGAATGCATGACACATAACTGAATGATCAAATGATTATTAAAAAAGAAAAAAAGAAAACCAACAGTAAATGATCATTTCATCAGCTCCAGGACTCTCTTCCAAGCAGGGCGGCTGGAGATGTCATTCCACCATGAATTCACATTCTTCCTCTCCCTAATCAAATGCCCCAATCCATTATCGGTCAATAAAAATGTGATGCCTGGAAGGTGACACATATCTGCAATGGTATAATAATCCCCAGCAAGGTACTTGCTCTTCGACAGCCTTTCCTCGTACACATCAAGCACCTTATCGAGGTTGTCCGCAAATTTCTGGACTAGTTTGAAATCTGAGGGCTCTCCCATCCTTGGCAGGACCTCCAGCTGAAGAACAAGACCATATATCATGTCATTGAAGTTGTGCGACTCCACTTCCAGCCATTGATCCACCAGTGCTTTCTCTTCCAAAGTGGTTCCCAAAAGGTTTGGACCATGGTCGGCATTCTTTGATGCATAGTACCTAACAATCGCCCTTGATTCTGTTCAAAAACAAAGACATTATTATTAATGTAACACTTTTTTTTTTTTTTTTTTGTATTTTTTGCTTTTACATGCACAACATATTCCTAGACCCAAAGCTATAAAAAAAAAATTACATTAAAAAATATGTATTAGTTGTCAATTAAAAAGATACTTAAAATTCTTGATTTTGGAGGAGGATATTTTTCTTGTTGTTCCATGCTTCCATTTTCCACTCGGAAAACGAAGATGTCCGTCCTTTATTTCTGCAGTCTTACCAAATTTGATGTCTTATGCATGACTATCTATCTATATTTAGTCCCTCACTAATTCTTTATAAAATAAAGCTAATGTAAGACTTTTAACTAAAAGTTCGGAGAACCCTAACTAAAATTTGATAGGGACTTGTGATTTTATTTTTTATTTTTTTATTTTTTATATAGTACTCACTTTTTTTTTCTTCCTAAAATGGTACACATGTTGTGTGCGTATCAAAGGATTATCTACTTTTTTTTTGGTTAGAAGTCCCACATAGAATATATTTAAGTGGATCGATATGATGATATATTAATGAGTGATTGAATTGGTCACGACTTCAAAGATAGGAGCAAAATAGTTATTTGTTGTACACACCGCCTAAGAAACGGATTCTACTAGGCTTTTCTAATTTTTTGATAGAAGTCCTGCATGAAGATTATAACTAGATTAGCAAATGGTGATATATAAATGACCAAATTAACTGTGACCCCAAAAATGATCCCACAACTACAAAACACAAACAGGTTTCTGGCAAAAATAACTTTGCATGAAGGATGAAGGATGAGATTACTACCAAAGAGCCTGAAATCACCGTCCTCAATGACTGGAACTTGGCCAAAGGGCTGAAAAAGCAGAGGCAAAGCGGATTGGATAGAATTAGACAAGAAGAAAAAACCTGACATTACCTGGAAACTTTATATAGTTGTAGTAAACTTTCTGCCTGTTTTTTCAGTCCTTGCCATGAAAATTGCAGTAGAGCTGGTTAATATATGCATATGCAGCGTTATATAATGATATTTTATGATTTTTGATCCCTCAATTTATCTTTCCTTTCCATTTTTCTTTCGGTTTATTACATCTAAATAATGAAAATTCAATACAGACGCGATGTTAGCATTTGACTGTATGTCACATTTGCGTAGAAAAAACGATTTGACAATTGACATGAGCAACAAAGAACGACCTTGACTTGATGCAGGAAAACAAAAAAGGGTAAAAGATCACCTGAAGGGGAAGAAATTCAGGTTTTTTATGGTCACCAGTCTCAAGGTCTACATGCACAACTTCAAAGTCCACTCCCATTTCTACTAGGCAAACTAGTACTCTTTGGGGGCAACCAGCAGTTACAGGCCCATAAACTTTAACTGCCATCCTCGCAAAGAATTGAACAATATGGCTATGAGGTTATGGTGAAGAAAGTTGCAACTATTGTGTTTCTGAACTTGTAATTGAGGAGGGTTCAGTCCCATTCTTTTTATAGCCAATGCTGTTGCATCACAATTTTCACCCTCTGAAATATTGTCAAAACTGGGGGTTGTGATCACGTGAGACTTTGTACAATTTTGACATCTTGAATTTTCTTTTTATGGTTTTGTGTGACTTTGCATTACAAGTTGTCCAATTTGCATTGTCTGATACTTTGATTTGGAACAGTATTGGACAACTTGCTTTGGATTCTTTGGGGGTTGACTCCAAAAAAAAGCTCTTTGGGGGTTGGCACGTGAAAGCCAACAGTAACCGGTTAGCGGCACGGGCAGAGGGGCTGCTGCAGCTCTCAACTACTCCCAAAGGGTACCTTTACGGTTAGCTTTTTCCTTAAAACTAATAATGATCGATAGTAAAAAGTCAAAATTAAATTAATAAATTTACTTTTCTCATTTACTTCTTTTTTTTTTTGACTCCAAACATAAAAAAGAAGAAATTGAGATAAAAAAAAAGATCAATAAGAACTAGAAAATATCATTAAAGATTTGGTTTAAAAACCTATAATGATATTTGTAATAAAAAAAGATCTGGTATTTTTTGTTTCTTATTTATTTGTTTTATATTCCCTTCCATCTTTTTTGTTTTATATATATTTTTTAATTTCCCTTCGATCTATTTTGTATTTGGAGAAAATCAAGATTTTGTAGGCCAAAATATAGGTTTTGAAAATCATTTCTTCTCTTCCAAAAAAAAAAAATAGAGAAAAAAGGCAAAAAGGAAAGGAAAGAAAAAAAGAGTAGTGAAACTGTAGGGGTGTTCACGAATCGAGCGGCTCGAGTACGAGTTCGAGCTAATTAAGTCGAACTCGAGCTAAAAAACATTAAACTCGTTGGCTCGGGAGCGGCTCGGGAGCTCAATTATATATTTTTTTTTATTTTTTATTTTTTATTTTAATAGTAAAATTACACATATATCCCTAATATTTTATTATTTATTAAAAAATTATTATTTTATTCATTTTTAAAAATAAATAATTATTTTTTATTTTTTTAAAAAATAAACTTATTATTATTATTTTTTATTTTTTAAGTTTGAGCTCGACTCGAATTTGAGTCGAGCTCGAGCTCAAGTTTGACATTTTGAGCTCGTCGAGCTCGAGCTCTAGTTCGAGCTTCACAAAATTAACTGGAGGCTCAGCTCGACTAGGTCAAAGCTCGGCTCGACTCGGCTTGACTCGGCTCGTTTGCACCCCTAAGTGAAAGGATGAATTTGTCAATTTATTGAATTGATTATGACTTTTTACTATTAACTGTTAATTTTAATAGAAAAACTAATAGTAACACTTTAACCCAAACCATCGGGGGATTAAATACATGTTTTTAAAACATGTGAAGTTATGTGATAAAGTACCAAATTACATAGAGATAAAATGTGATTTACCCTTAATTAAATGGTAGATGAAAGAGTTTAATTGAATGGCCATCACACAATCGTTTCAAAGAGATGAATAGAACTTGATTTTTGAAGCTATTTGGTGGTTGGAATCAATTTTTTACCCCGCTATCCTAGGTTTGAATTTGGAAGTGCTATCAGCACCACAAGACTGCTTATGATGACAGATGGACAGTTGTATCACCAAGCTACTATCGGAACTCTTGGCTAGATTATTCAGTTTCTTTTTTCTTTTTTGGTCAAGGAAATTAGCATGTCATCTATGCATCAAATGAATGAATCAGCTTCCTCAGATAATCTCCCGACAAGATGATTTAGAGGGCTACTTCAACAAGTGACATTTCACCGGGCCAGAAATTTTTTTCGTCGAAGGGGCTTTCTATATCAAGGAACATAAGAGTTGCAGGCACAATTAATTCACTATCTACCTTGCTTGCAGCTGCATTTTAATTTCTAATGTACAAATCTTCTTCTCTGAACTATATAGTTTACGAGCTTCAAAGGCATGTGAACTTGTATATGGTTCAGCTCATGCCTTTTGCTAGCGTAGATGATGTTCTTGGAGGTACAAGAGACTTTGCATATGCCATTGGCAGAGCAAGTAACTTCTTCGGTTTGCTAACATAAGCTCTCCTGTCAAAATTGTTGTAGTCATTGGCTTCAATCTCGTCGAGTATTTGACGATACAACAATAGCGATGCCCATACCTGCAATTGCCAAGATAAATCTGGATTTAATGGCCTGCTAGAAACTCAAAGGCAAAGGATATAAGTTCAAGTTACAATGCATATGTCAGGTTGCCCGTTGGGAGAAGAGAAAGGGGGGTGGTGGTGGTGGTTGTTTAGACGTATAATATCTGCAAACTGAAGCAGGATACAAACTGAAAATTGTATCTCATTGGTTTCAAGAAATTACTACACAAGTGAATCTGCATCAGGACTGTTAAGAGGAATTCTTAAAAGTAACAAGAAACAATGTATAAAAAGGCACAGTGAAATGTTAATATATCATAACTGTTCTGGATGCAACGTAAAGTTAATCTAAGTGGAGGCCATTCTTTTCAATTAGCATTGGGTAAGATGGATCATAGAATTTTCCAAGTACATTCAACCCATTTATGGTCATTAATTCACTCTTTGTGCATACCATTCAATCAAGTCATTAAGCCAAGGAGATAGAGACTTTGAACTTAACCAGGATCAGTTTAATGAATATTCACAAGTGCTTACAGGCCATCTGCTAGCAGAGTTGAGCTCGGTCACTCCTTTCTCTGCCTCATCAAAGAACTTCCTTGCTCTTTTCATTTGCTGCTTCATGAAATTCCTCCATTGGTCAGTGACCTTTCCAGCAAATATATCCTCATCTGAAAGCCCTGCCTGTGCTAATTCATCTTGGGGTAGGTAGATCCTTCCTCTTGTAGCACTGAGCAAATTGAGCGCACATATACAGAAGATGTCAGAACTCTGAATCACCACTCTGTACAAGTTACTTTTGCTTGCAAAACTCTGATTAGTTTGCAGTATATATTGACTGACATTATGATTCTAGTTAAGCATTTTTCCAGCTCAATATTCACTCAACACTTAAGGTCACTTATATAAACTTTACCAAGATTCTTTTCCTTAGCCTCTATGCTCCCTTGGGAGCACATGCATTCACCCTATCATTGAAAAAGGTTTTGGCCCTTCATTACTTTTTCACTTTTTACCACCTTATGACACTTCAATCTGAGAGTGGACACCACTCAGTAAAACAAGGGGTTTAATCTATTTCAAAAGCAATTAACATTACCTAGAAGCTGCATATATTGATGAATACTAGAACCAATAGATAAATCATTTCAAGATTTTGATACTTTTCACCATGATGGAAGGCAACCAGTAAGCTTGAAAAATAGCAACTGACATCCTTTTGGTTTTAGGCAACAGCAATTTGCTAGTGATGCATCAAAAGAATCATATGGTTTAGACTTACTCTTCTCCAACATCCCTTAGGATGTTAGTCAGCTGGTTAGCAATCCCTAATGCCAGGGCTGCATTATAGACACTTTCTACTGTTGCTTTTGATTCTGGTGCAATGCCCATAACTGGGACACTCATCAATCCAACGGTACCGGCCACATAGTAACAGTAGAGGTATAGCTCATCAAAGTTTTTGTATCTTGACTTCTTTAGGTCCATCCTCATTCCTTCAATCATGTCTCTGAATGGCTGCAAATGATGGTGTTCAAAATGGCAGAAGGAATGCTTAGTATATAAAGCACTTATTCTATAGCAAGAAGGTACTTCCAGTAAAACAAAAGAAATCAACAAAAAGTGCAGAGAGCAAATAGTCAACATGTAATTTGTGCTAATGACATGTTACTGGTAATACATGACAAAGCATCGTTACAGGGCCTTTTAATTTAATTTTCATGTCAAAGGAGAGAGACTGGGAAATCAACAATATTAACAAACAGGTGTTTATGTCCTTTATCCAAAATAAATGGTAGATAAATACCACAATCTGAACTTTTAAGATAACTCGGTGTACTAAATGGATCACTTATACTGACAAAACAGGTGTTTAAAGTCCTAGACCCAATTTTTTGAGGACAAAAGTCCTGTTACCCAGTATAGACAGCCAAGTGCTTTTGTTGACATAATTGAGACATGATTTACTCAGAAAGGCTAATGTTAAGTAGTTATGCGAAAGCAGCACTCAGATTAAAGTTTGTTGTTTTCATCAGCTCACAAGGCTTAACAGAGTACTGACAGCAGAAAAACGAATCAAAATCAATAATGGTTTAGGAATCTTGACAACGGCATTTCTCTTCAGAGTGTAAGGTGTGTTTGGGAACCAAAGAGATGACCATTAGAATATACAACCAAAAGTTAAACGAAATATGAGTTCTGACCTGGATGTCAACTGGAAACTTGGAAACAGTATCTGAAAGAGCAGCATCAAGCATATCAAAAGGACGACCTCTAAAGACATCTTCCAATCGCGCTTCCCACCTATCCAATGCAGTTGGAGTTATATGTGATGCATTAGGCCCATCAACGAGCTCATCTGTTCTCCTGCACCAAACTGATAAAGATGGAAAAGCATATGTGTCAGAGGAGTTATTCCCGAGCATTCGAAACCTTAAGAATAATTGGGTTTTGCGAAAGTGTTTAAACCAGAAACTTTTATGTTTAATCTATTAAAGGTATCCATGTCAAAAAATGGACACAGATGATAGAAGGAAACTCTTTTGGCAGAGGATAATAGCTAAATGAAAAGTTTTTAAATTGTTCTAATACTTTCAAGCATCTATCAACCTAGAAGAGATCCTCCTCACTTAGCATTGCAAATTAAATTCTATCTGACAAAGCAATTAAATCAATAATACGCAAAAAATTATGTGAAAATAGTTAACTAATGGTCATATGCATTGTCAAATAACCACCATCCATTTTTAGGTTCATATGCTGTTTCTTTTCACAGTTGAAGCTCTTCAATCAGAAAGAAAGCTTTCTATGTTTATTTAAAAAATTCTCAATATACCACATGACAACTAAAAAAGTC